GTAAAACCCCCTGGAAGTGTATTGAACTAGAAGATCACTGGCAGAGTGCAGACCTCTGCCATGCAGGAAACTATCCCCCCAAATTGTGACTTACCTCTATATCTAAAACACACACATGATCTGGATCATTCCTTAATTTCTAATGAATTGTTCTTTGGCATGAAGCAAACCTCTGCTTAAAAAAATGTCCAAAAAATGTGTTCATAAGTTTTAAATTGATCCTGCTAACAAACCACCAGCGTTCCCTTTTCTCATGTTTTTGTCATCAGTAAAATACCTCCAGACTTTCTGAGTCCGATACTGAGGCTGTGAATAGTCACTGCATCCATCTTCTGGTTTAGTGGACTGCTTGTTTTCCCAAATATCCCTATCTCACAATATTGGAGAATCTCTGAAAAAAATCCTGTATCCAGATTATGATCTGGATGATCACCCACATTTAATGGCTTGTTTTTGCCATGAGGGACAGACTAACACACACATTTTCCTAAAATATAACCTCTTTGGTTTACTCTTTATACTGTTAACAAGTAACTGTGCAGGTTAGAGTTGTTCTTATTGTCAAAATGACAATTTTTACACTGGAAGGTCTACCTGAAAAAAAAAAAAACTCCTGTAACTTGAGTTCATAGAAACTTTATTTAAGACTGAAGGTCCAGCTTAAAAAACCCCAAACAAAAACCCAAGATGTTAGATAAAACCTAATGCATGCAACCTATTTTTTTATTTGTTTATGTTATTTGTACCCCTAAATAATTTGTTGAATTTTTTATTTTCAGTTTAATTTTAAAATAATAATTCATGCCACATAGTAGTCCCTAAAATCTCTAGTTTCTGAGAACTGATGTAGCCCTTTGCTACACTGCCCCATGTGGTGACATGTGGTTATTACATGGACTCATATTCAAAGTGCTTTGTAGCCTCAGAAGATCCCTGCAGACACTGCTTTAATGAATCTAGAGGTGATGTCTGTTGGTAGGCCATCAGCAGCTTTTAATGTTTCCTGATCAAACAACATCAGATCAACCAACAAAAGCTGTGCCATTCATTCAAACCTTATCCTATTCATTTCTCATTTTAATTTTAATTGATATGCTTTTTTTTTTGTATTATGAGGATTTTGTAAATGAACTTCACATATTTTGGGCATTATAGCCCAGTAGCAGTAAATACTTCATATTTATACCACTAATATATGGAGTATCAGATTTTTCTTAGACCACCGCTAAAAATCCAGGAACATCCAAAACTTCAAACGAACCTAATTTAGTGACATGTTTTAATTCAACCGTTTAATGTTGTCTTGTTTCAGGAGCAGAAACTGCGCAGCGAGCTGGCCCTGGTTAAAGGAAACCATGCGGTGATGTCCCAGATGTTAAACGAAATGATACCGGGACAGAGCTCAGCAGATGATGCAGACCTGCTACAGGTGGGTGTGTGTGTATGTAGGGGGGGGGGTCACTGTCTATTAGCTTCTTCTTAATATGGAGGCCAGTTCAGAACAATTGTAATTATATTTATTTATGTGTGGATATAAAAACATCATAAAACAGTGATCATTAAAATCCCAGTCTAAACTCTGCTGAGAAACCTTTCCTTCTCATTTCTAGAGCCTTCGCCATAGCTCTTACCAATAAAACAACATTACCACACTATCTTTTTATTCACTGTTTGCACTGCATTAACTTCCTTTTCCCCCCTGTGGACGTTGGTCTCTTTTAGTTTAGTTTTATGTTCTTCCAAAAATAACAAATAAAAATGAGAAATAAAACCTGATATATGACCTATTATCCAACAGACTTTTACTTTCCAACTGGCCATTTTTCACTTTCATTATTTTATCAATTCGCTCTGTGCTTATTGCATTGTAATCTTCTTACTTTTGGTTTAAAAGAGCAACACCTTGTATCTATTGGAGAATATGTAGATATTGACTCTTGACTCATTTATTGTCATCATAAACACTACTTTGCAGCAAACAAGGCAAAATCTTGAGGTTAAATATGATCTAGATGGTTTACAAGGTCAACCTCTGTCTTAAAGCTGAGTGTCACTGCTTTATAGAATATGACCAGCGATCTAATGTTGCCTACTGGGTGTGATATGTTGCCCACTGTAAATCAAGTTTAAAAAAAGTTGAGTTAAAAATCAGTAAGCTAAGTAACTTAATTAAAAAGATCATTTAAAAAGTAAAAAAAAAAAAAAATCGAAGTTTCGGAATTAGCATTAATGTTCTCATGGTAATGTAACATAAAAATTATTTATTTCTGTTTCTTTTTCACACTCCTTGTTTTTCTTCTTTTCCATATGAGAATAAGTGACAATTTTTTGTAACTACATTGACCTTAATTTTTGCCATAATATATATTTATATTAATTTTATGTTAAAAGGTGTTGTTCTGCCCCCTAATAAAACTCTTGAATTAAAATTTTAATTCCTAAGTGTTTAACTGAGTTCCCTATAAAGGGTTCAAGATCTTTTTTTTTTTTTCATTTGTTTCTCATATATTCTAATATTACAGCTCTTAAAGAAAATTAACAATTGACTTAAATCTTTGTCATCAAGTAAAACTTATAAGAAAATAAATAAAAACTCATGGATCAAAAATTGACCACTAAGTTCTTATTGGAGGTTTTTGTTGTCTAAACCAGTCTGACATGGAAGGACTTGTGTGTTTGTAGAATCGCCCCGGCTGATCTGTTTTTATTCAGTCTAACTTGAACCAAGCTTTCTCAAGAAAAAAAAAACAGGTGGTTGGTTAAGCTGTAAATCCATTCCTTTAGTCTTTCACTGTCCTCAAAGTATTTTAAAACGCGTCGGACATGTGTCCTTTATTTCAAGATCTGAAGTGTACCACTGAAAATCCAGAAATGTCGATGGTAAATTAAATCATTTGCTTCTTAAATAGCTCCTGGACCATACTTGCTGGAAAGTGTTTGTTTACTCAGTGCTCCGTTCAAATTGGAAGTGACTCTTTCTCCCTGCTGCTCTGCTCAAGCAGCAGCTGTTCTCTGTGTGTAAGAAGATGCAGAGTCGTGTGGTTGAGCTGATCCCACAGCTGGTGGATGAAAGGTTTATGGAGGAGTTACTGGTGGTAAACGACGACCTCAACAATGTCTTCATTCGCTATGAGAGGTGGGCTGCAGCGGATCTGGTTGGTTGATTGAGCATTAGTTGTAAAATACAACACATAACCGTCTACTGTACATTTTTGTTAGGTTTGAACGGCTGAACAAGACTCAAAGTTCAGATCCTAAACAGGTAAAAATAATTATAATCTGTCTAATGTGTTTGGGACTGAAAGCAGCTTTAATGGTGTTTTTTTCCCCTCTCGGTTAAAGTGATTAATCACGACACAACTTACTTCCAGATCTCTGTAAGGAGCCCAAATTTGGTTGACACCATCCCTGAAACTCTGAACAACAAACAGGCCGCTACCATCACAGCAAGCATCCAACCAGCCGCCAGCGCCCAGACCAATCACCAGCTATCAGCCAATCACAGTGAGCAAACTCCCCATGACCTTGGTTTCAAAACAATCTATCAAGTCTCTTGTGTTTTTTTTGTTTTTTTTTTTTTAGCGTTTTATCTGTGGAGGGAAATGGGATGTTGAGGCTGAATCACATGAGTGTGTTTTGAATAGACTACATGCAAACAAACGTCATAGTGATTAATCCTAAGCATGGGAAGCAGTTTGAGGGAAATATTCCCTCTGTGCTTTTTGAACCTAAGCTGGCTTGGATTTGTTTTAATTTCTAAAATGATCCTTTGCAGAAGAAGAGGAGGAGTTTGACATGTTTGCTCAGACCAGAGGCAGCTCTTTGGCTGAGCAGAGGAAAAGGTAAACATCATTTATCATCTAGCACTTTTCGTAAATTGATTTGATGCACAGCACTGATGATATCTATGAAAATACTTTTAAATAATATAATATTATTATTAGAGCTAATAATTAATCATAGAGCACCATTTATGCATCCTTAATCCTTTTCACAGATCTGCATGCATTCACTTTTTCTTTGCTTGTAATGATTTTCACTGTAAGCTTCACGTCTACTAAAGCACTGCTGGTTTCTGCTTTTTTACAATGAAGTATTTGTATGTATTTGCGTCTAGCGTCAGATATGAAGATCCAGAAACTGTAGAAGGACTTGCTGAAGCTCTGGACTCGAGGCTGCAGGTCACAGGAGGGGTGCGTACACCACAGCAGTTATGTTTAAAGGAGTTTTTGCAGGAGTTTTCATTCTGTTTTGTTTTTATTTTCCTTTTCCCTCAGATGGTGCCGGAGAAAAATGCTCCGCAGAACGACACTGACAAATGGTTATCTTCTGATCTGGTAATCCAAAGCTTGTATAGATCATATGTAATGTTAGCAGATAATTACAGTAGAGCGCGTTATTTATTTTCTTGTGTTTTAATAAAGCAGGAAGGTCAATCCTCGGTTTGTGAAGGAGTCTCCAGTGAAGGTTTGTTTTCCTCTTCTTGGTTTTCTAATATAGTAAATAAGAACCGTTCTCAACATTTAATCAGTTATGCTAGAAGATGAGTTCATGACGTCTCTGTGTTTTTAGAGTTTGACAAGTTTCTGGACGATCGGGCGAAGGTGGCGGACCAAAGCAACCTTTCAATTCGCACCGTGCCATCGGCCACGCCTAGACCTCAGCCCACCAAGAAGCAGGATGCCACACATGACCAGCTCTTTTCTCTTTAAAGAAGATCTAACACGTGCAAAAAAAAAAATGAACTGCTTCATGGTCAAATCATTTTATACAAAAAATGCTTTATTTCCTGTCTTTATGTACATACATACCATTTTATGTAACTCTATTTAAAAATTTACTATAATGTTAATGTGAACAGAAAAAACCTTAGCCTGTATAGTTAAGTAGTAATTAGTAACAATGATGTATAAAATCTATATGATGATGTGCCTTCCACCTGGAGATGTGACGCAGCAGGAACTAAAATAAATGGTAAACACCTCTCTTAGCATGTGGCGCCTTTAATTTAAAATATTTCTGCTTCGAAAAAAAAGAAAAAAAAAAACTTGTTCAGGATGCCGGCCATTTGGCTGTTCTAGTGCAACCCAGCATAATATTAGGTGTGTCCTGGAAAACAGTGCTTTTTAGTATATTATCAGTTTTAATACTGAGATGATAAAATCTCAGAACTAGATCATCTGTAATAACATTCCTTTTGTGTTAAAATCATAAATAAACTGATGCGTTAACTTATGAAACAAGTGAATGGAGATATATTGAAGTAGGCCAACATGTCTGGTATATTTATTTTATTTTCCAAGTTTGATTTATTTCTCTTTTTTTATTGATAGTTTTTTTTACTTGTGTTAAATAGGTTGAGTTTTGGCTTTTAGATGACATTTTTGTAATTACTATTTTTATCTTCTTTAAATACACCCAGATCTAACTGGAAACAAAAAGTTAAAAACGATAATTGCCTAAAAAGGAAAGCACAATCAAAAACAGTTTAAAAGATTTTTTTTTTATTATTATTATCATTAAATGAACAAACCAATGACAACACAGCTGTTACACAGTCAGATTGAGGAGTGTTGGCCTAGTGTTTAGAGCAGTGCGCTTGTGCTCTGAGAAGGTTGAAAGTACCCGGTTCCATCCCCACATCCTGCACTCTGGGTCCCTGAGCAAGACCCTTAACTCCACGCTGCTCCCCGGGCGCCGCACGATGGTAGGCCACTGCTCACAAAGGGGATGGGTTAAATGCAGAGGTAAATGATCAATAAAGTTCATTTATTATTCTCTGGTGTTATTTCACCAGATCCCTTCATCTCATTTCAGAAGATTTTTGCCAGTAAATGACTTCATAATTTTTTAAGTACTGTTCTGTGTTTGGAGAAGGAGAAATGTTTCAAAAAGTGGCCTTATAAAATGGGGGGAAAAAAGCTGGATTTGAAGTTTTTTTTTTTTTGTTTTGTTTTTTTTTACCAATATATATTTGAATGAAATGTGAGAGCCTGTACTGTAGGAGTACTCACTAATATTTTTCTATGATAACACTCTAAATTTAGTCTGTTTTTGTTTGGCTTTGGGTGCTCATATTCCCTGAAGTATCAGAATCCCAGCAGATATGAAGGCAGGCTTGGTAGATAAACATTCATTTGTCATGCTGCCTTTCCTAATGCTGACCATGTGGGCTGCATTATATTTTACTGCTTCAGCTTGACTATGACTGTCCTGCCTTTTTCTTTTGCTCATACTTTTTAATCCCAGATCAGCTTCCAAATGGGTCTGTTGATAAAAGCCAGGAGGATTTGGACTGGACTCGCCTTTTCTGTCTATTCTGTCTTTTAGGATCCAACTTTGACCCGTTTTGGATGCCTGTGGATCAGCCATTGGAAGCGGCATTAGAAAGTTGGCCTCTCTCAGACTCTCAACTTGCTGCCTTGGCAAAAAATGTAATCATAGTTTTTCAGGGTTATGGGAGGCTGAAGCAATCTATATACAGAAGCTGCAGAAAGAAGATGCAGACCTGGACCTCAGCTCGCTTCCCTCTGATGTTACAGAAACATTCAGAGGTTGGCTACAGGGCTCTGCTATGTGTAAACTAAATCACCGCTGTATAGACCTGGACCCAGCATTCTGGCCACGTTGGCTGTGACAGACTGATTGTGAAAGGCCCGAAAAGAAGAGAAGTGGCTCTTTTCCAAGAGGGATGAAGTCTGTGCAAATTTACACTGCTGAAATTAAGATCTCCTCATGGAGCTGCCTGGAGATCAGCGATGCATCCAAGGACCTTAAAGCGGAAAAGTGCGACAGCACTGAGGAAGAGACGAGAGAAGCCTTCAGAAGACCTCTATGGAGACAAGTGCCTTATCCTATGGCCACCTCATATGTCTGATCATGTAAATAACTTTTCTTTATTCTTCTGAAGTGGATTTCCTTCCTTTTACAAACATTGCTTGTATTTCTTTTAAATGTTTGTATTTTACTGTTGGATTTAGTTGACAGACAAAATGTAATTATTTTGCTGCCCAATGTCACTGACTTTAGGGATCTAATGTATTAAAAGTCTGCATTTCTTTAAAAATCAATGCTTTCTATCTTTTTTTGCTCATAAATATTTTAAACAGTCACAAAGTATTTAATGTTTTCCTAAACAGCTAAAATAGTTTTAAAGTAGTTATTCTTTACTGATTTTAAGAAGTGCTCTTTTATATATTTGTAAATAAAGCCTGGCTCCATGGCTTGTCATTACACACCACCCTGATAAAAAGAAAGTTGATTTTTTTTTTTTTTTTTTTACTTTTAATTTTAACCTGTATAAACACAGTTTCCTAGAATGTTTGAGCAGGACCCATTTTGCATCGCAAAAACGATCTAGAAATAAGTAAATA